TGTAATGTATTTACAGATTTGTTGTAATGTATTTACAGATGTGTTATAATGTATTTGTCTGAATAATACCTGAGCTAAAGAACACACTTATATTTCTGCAAAATTTATTATTTATTTTAATAAAAAGATGTTAAAAAACAGTTTTATTAGAATCTCATGAGGTTACACAGATCACAAAAGGGAAAAAAACACCTGATAAACTCGATACACACCAGCTAAAAATAAACAAACGCGACCTTAAAGCAGTAAAAAAAGACAAAAACTACAACAGTTCATGGAGAAACAATGAAAAGGCTCGCCACATCTAATTTAAATGAAGATTTGAGTTTTTTTTATTTGTTAGAGATGTGGCTCCATGTGGCTAAAAATGGCCGCTTTACGGTTTAGCCATGGTGGTAAAATTATATGTAAATAAAACTAGAGACAATGAATTTCCAGCGAAAATGCTAGTGTGAATGCCTCTTGCTGATAACTTTAGCTGAAGAACAGCTAAGAAGCAAATTGATGATGTCACTGATGTGACTGATGATGTCAGAGATATCATCATCATAACCAAAATTTAAAAATTGAAATTGCTAAAAACCTATAAACATTTAGGATACCAAAAATCACAGCCATAACTTCCTGAAGGAGCTGAACATTTTGATGTTTGAATGGTTTAAGTAGCACAAAAATTGTGGAAGGAGAAGCGTCCAAAAACGTACAGAAGAAACTGGAATAATACAGAATAAAGAGAAACATGAAAACATTAGTGTGAATGCTGAAGGCATGCACACAATAAGATACATGTATTTTAAAAACTAGAAAAGTTACAAAAACCAAAGGTTACAGCAGTAACCCCCTGAGCTGAATGTAAATTAAAATAATAAAAAAAAAACAGAGCTGGAACAAAGATTTAACCTAAAACAAATAAAGTAATAAATTCCATCCTAATAAACTCTTTGTGCTTCAGTCCTCGGCTGGATGGGTTTTTCCACAGGGAGTTATTTTTAAAGCACCTGCTCAGAAACTCACTGATCTTTACCAACGTTTTCTTTAATTTTTACCTTTTATGGGTTCTCTCACTCAAACAAGGCCTAATGTGGATAAGAGGGGTCATCGGGGTCAGCTCGGACACACAGAGGGAAGGGGCTAATGTTGAGGCTAAAGAAAGAAGAGACGTAACTGAAGATTTCTGCTCAGGCTTTAACGAGGGCACCTGCAGGCTGGAGCAGCTGGACGATGGGGGGGTCTTCTCTAAAAAAAAACGAGTTGAAAAATCAACTCTGACCTGATAAGTGAACCTGCTGAGTGACGTCACAGGTTCAGACCAAACCTCGGTGCCAAAAACAAAATGAATATTTAAAACTAGAGCAGCTTCAAAACATCTGAAGAGTTCTACAGGAACTCTGCACTGCTCATTCAGATGTCCTTCATCTTTAACTTCCTCCTCCTCCTCCTCAGTCTGCACAGCAGCAGAGCCAGGAGGGAAGGGGGCGGGCTCTAACAGATGATAGACAGCACTGTTTTATTAAAGTGAACACAGGAACAGGAAGTGAGTCTAATGAATGATTATTAGCTTTAGCTTTGGTGTTAGTGTTAACTCCAGATTAGCATTTGCCCTATGATAGTGCTAGCTTGTTGTTAAGATTAGCTCCACATTAGTGTTACCTTGTTGTTAGTATTAGCATTAGCTCCGCATTAGTGTTAGCTCCTTATTATTGTTAGCATTAGCTCCACATTAGTGTTAGCTTTGCATTAGTGTTAGCATTAGCTCCACATTTACCATTAGCTCCACAGTGTTGGGATTAACTCAACTTTAGTGCTAGCTCCATGTTAGTATTTGCCCTGTGTTAGCATTAGCTCCACATTAGTGTTAGCTCCTTATTAGTGTTAGCATTAGCTCCACATTAGTGTTAGCTCCTTATTAGTGCTAGCATTAGCTCCACATTAGTGTTAGCTTCTTGTTAGTGCTAGCATAAGCTCTGCATTAGTGTTACCTTCTTGTTAGTGTTAGCATTAGCTCCACATCAGTGTTAGCTTCTTGTTAGTGCTAGCATAAGCTCTGCATTAGTGTTACCTTCTTGTTAGTGTTAGCATTAGCTCCACATCAGTGTTAGCTTCTTGT